CTGAGGCGGGGGCGGAGCTTTCGTGAGGCGAGAGGAGCGGGGCTGAGGGCGGGGCCGCCGCGCGTGACCCCGGGGGCGTGGCCGTGGTACGTGCGCTCCGCTCTCATTGGCGCCGCACCCGGAAGAGCCGCCGGCGCCTGCGCGGTGGGGCCGCCGCGCTGCGTTCCCTTTCCCGAGGAGATGGAGGCGGCGGCGCGGCGGCGGCCGCGGGAGCCGGAACGGCAGGAGCGGGAGCAGGACGATGGTGGGCGAGTGATGTCGCGGTCCCTGTCGGGACAGTCCTACTGGCTGGACCTGTGGCTCTTCATCCTCTTTGACCTGGCGCTTTTCCTGTTTATCTACCTGCTGCCCTGAGGGCGCGGCCCAGGTGAGGAGCGGCGTTCGGGGGCGGTCGGTCGGTCGGTCGGTAAGGCCCGACGGGCTGTGCCCCGTGCAGGAAAGGGTTCGCTTCAGGAGCGGGACCCTGGGAGCAGCCTTGGCATTCTCACAGCCCCGCCTCAGAAGGCCTCGGGAGCACAAATGCCTCTCAGGAAACTGGAAACTGATTCCAAACCACCCCAGCTTCATTTATTTGTTTGTGAGATTTATTATCCGTTCTTTGTTCAGGACTGTGATTGATGCTTCTTACATGTCACTGTCTTCTGAAGGACTGTGCAGCACTACGAACATAACCAGACTTTTTCTGTTCCCTGTAGGGCCATTGCCACCAAGGGAATTCTCACCTATTTCGCACCTTATGGACGGAGGCGGTGGAAGAGGAGGGCCATTTGTGCGGGATAAGCAACTGGGAACACAACTCCACTTGAGTCTGGCTGGAGGAGGCACATTTTTGTACTGTACCGTATAGATCTCTGTGTCACAACTGTTACTGTGTCCTGTTCACGTGTCCTAAACTGTGCCTTAAAGGTCACGTACAACAGACTGACCGTGCTTTGTGATTAGTGCCTACAGGTTTGTTGGGCAGAAATGGAAGTATGCACTGTGTGAATAAAATCCCCTGAAAGGACACCCTGCAGAGTGGCTGAGAATAAAACCCAGCTCTTCTGTACACTGAAGTTGTAACTCAGGCATGTTCCCTCAACAGATGAAGCTTGGCCAGCTGTTCTGCTTCTGAAAAGTTAATCCTGAAGGGTTGATGCTGGTTGGTTTTCTATAATACCTTTCTCTGTTTTTTTCTTTCTTTACCTTCAGCAGTTACTGAGCCCTCTCAGGCTCACTATTTATAGATATAAATATATACGTATATAAACATGTCAGTGTTTAACCCAGCAGCAGTGTCCTGTCCTCACTTACTGATTAAGATAAATGAGGTTCTCGTTTCCTTGCTAGAAACTGTGAAGGAGGAGCTTACAAGAGCAGCCTTGAGTCACTGGCAGCTGACACTTAAAGATCCCACCTCCTCACTGTCCATGGATGGTCTAAGTAGACAGTGACCAGTAATCAAAAGCTTTCAACATCAATTTCCTCTGTCTCACTAGAGGGAACACTAACCTGTGTTAAAGGGAGCAGTCTCTTGGAGTCTTTGGAGAAAGAAACAGAGGCTGAGCACATGGAGTGAACTTTTTGTCAAGGCACATTTGGGGAAAGAAAGTTTTCAAGCTATGGATGAAGGGGATTCAGTTTTCCTTAGCATTTTTCCCTTGGGAATACTAATTTCAAGAAGTATAGTCCATGCTTGGTGGTTGTTTTTTTTTCCAGCAGTACATATAACAAAATAACTGGATTGCAGAGACTTGGAAGTGCAGAGTGGTTCAGTGTCTTCCCACACAATAACTGAAAATGGGCCAGGATGAAGTTAAATAGGATTGAGGATGCAAAAATAGACTGATGCTCTTTAATTTGATTGTAAAGACAATTTTGCTGCTGGCAGCAGTTTGTTTCATGTGTCAGCCCTGTGCTGTCAGAACAGAGATGCTGTGCCCTGCTGGCATTTATCATCGTGACTGCTGGTACCTGTAGATAAGAGTGGTTTCAGAGATCCTGGCTCCAGTGCACAGGAGGCCTGAACTGTGATTGCATTTTCACAAACACCAGAATGAGGGTTCCAGCTTTTGAATGAGGCCATTAAAGAGACAAGTTCACTTTTTATACCCCCCTTCTGGCATGATATCACAAGTGAAATCCCCAGTGAACAATCAAGAAAAGACTGCAATGTTACTCCATTTATATTTTGATAAGGAAGACAGGTGAAATTTAAAGGCTTAGAAAGTTGAATTTCAAGCCATCTTCCACTGATTTAGTTTTCTCCTTCAACCAGATCTGACATTAAAGGTTTTGCTTATCTCAGAAAACTTAAGAGCTAACAAAGTGCAGGCTGGTGCTGCACTGGGCTCCAGCTGGTCCCTAGGCACATGGAGCTCCTAAGTACAGAGATCCAGGTAAATTTTGCTTATCCCTAGTGAAGATAGTAAAGAAGCTCATGTATCTGTCAATCACTTGTCACCAAGTCTGTGGGATTATGGTATAAAAATGGCTTTATGCATTTCATAGCTGTTTAAAAAGCTTAATATAGTTAATATCTTTATGAACAAATACTTCATCAGAAGATGAATTCATCATCTTACTTCATTAGAAGATGAATTTTACTGTTCAGAAAAGGTAACCAAACTACCATCTCCACAAAAACTTTGACCCATCAGCAGCCGCATTATCTGTCACTTTAAAAATGTAGCTTTGGAAAGCCAACTATTTTTTAAACATGAAACACAAAAAGAGCAGACAACAAAGATTTTAAATTTTTATCTTGATATTTTGAACAAGTAGAACTTTGCAAGTAAATAATTCTAAAGACTGAAAAATATATTAATTACAAGACTCGTTAATATCTTTACTGTTACAAAAATTGTCTAGGCTCTTATACAAATCTATAGCTGGAGGGGGACATTTATAAAAAAATAAATAGGCACCCTAGGTAAGTTAAAACGAGTTATCACATATTAGTTAGCAAATATTACATACATACATGGAGTGCAGAGGCAAATATAAAAACGAAGGTGCCTTGATTAGCTGTCTATTTAATCATGAAATACCTGGTAAACATGGGTCACAGAGGAAGCTGTCTGCTAAGATTGCTCCAAGCTAAGCAAGGAAACTGAAGTACACCTAAGTTACTGCAGCTACTTTGGAGAGGAGTTTACCAGTTGTGCTTACTGGGAGCAGAGTTCATTGGTATCAGTAAGAGGCATTCATATTGCTCGTGGTAGAGAAGTATCAACATTGCTATGCATGTTCAAAAATAAGTGTTCTAACATCATTCACAGTTGTTGCTGTGCTATCCATACATAAAAATACTGTCATTTCAAATACAAGATTTTTTTGTTCTTTTGCAAAACATTTTACAAATTATACATTATTTACAAATTCCAATAATCTTGGTTTTTACACAGGTATTAGAAGACAGTTGTACTTAACTGGCTATGTATATTATGTAACATGGCTAGATGAAATAGAAAAGTTTAATTTACAGGTTCTGAAATCTCTTAAAAATATTACAATAGGAATCACCCAAGTTCTTACATTTTTAGTGTTCTTCTGTATTCAGTTGATTTTCTTACAAAAGGATCATTGCTGTAAGTTGCTGTTTACTAGCAGCCATACAGAAAAATGCATAGTATTTTCACTATAAATTCTAGAATTCATTTTTTTTTCCCAAGTGCTACAACAAATTTTGATCAAGAAGGTAGAAAGGTTAATCTGAGATACCCGGTTTGTTGCATATATATAATGTTCCAGTTCTACTGTAAGGTAAATGTTATTTAAAAGAAAAGAAAAGAAAACCTGACCTTGCCACAGAATAACCAAAACTACTGTTTAAATGTTTACCTTGGATAATTGTGCTAAACAATTGCCATCATTTGGTTGAAGCACTAAAACATGTACATAAGGTTATAAACATGAAAAAAAGCTTTTCTGATTTTTTATTATTTTCATAATAAAAGGCATTGATGTTTAGGTGTAATCAGCAGCACCCCAAGTTGACACTCCAATGTGAATAATGGAAAAATGTTACCCTTTTATGTTGTGCCAGGCTTTGCTATGCTGCCTCATGCATGCAGTAGATGGTTTTGTGCACTGATTTAACTAACCAGATAAAAGCCAAATAAATCTTCCTCCTTGTTACTGAGATAAGTCAGGTTAACAAAAGACAAGGTAAATTCCAGAGCTGCCAAAACTGGAGACAGTGACAGAGCAGAGAAAGAGGAACCACTTCTTTCCATGCCCCCTTAACGACCAGTCTCAGTCTAGCTGCACATTCAGCCTGATCTGCTAATGCAGACATATCCATGTG